GAAACGAAATGTCCCGCCGCTGGTGCAGCAACAACAGTAGAGCCTTGCCTCGTCGGCTGCGGCTTCAAGCCGCTGCCGCGGCCTCCCTCAGACAGCTCCCCGTGAGGGAGGGATGTCTTTCTGTCTGCATGCAATGATGTTAACAACTTACTGGGCTGCTGTTGCAGCGGCAACTGCCGCAGGTTTCTGCTGCAGCAGTTGTCGTTGCGGCTGTTGCGGCTGCAGCGACAAGGCGACGCAGAGCCTGCTGCAGCAAATGGTAGTGCTCCTGCTGTTAGCGGCACATGTAGCAAATAAAAATAAAACAAATAATGCTACTCCCTCTGGTGTTATCGCTGAACTGCAGCACGAGCCACAAGAGCCCGAGCTGCAACAGCCGACTGTGAAGGCCCACGGGGCCCACGAGACAACAGCAACATTAGCAACTGCTGTTTGTGGCTTCCTCAGCAGCAGGTTTCTTCTCCTTCTTGTTGCTATCTCAGGTTCGTATTTTAGTGATTGGTCAACATCTTCCCGTTGCTTCCTTCTCGCTGCAGGACCAGACAGTTGCAACTGCAGCGGCAGACGTGCTGCTGTCCCTGCGGAGACTGCACATTCGCCACTGGCCTTCGGTTGCGCCGGCAGCACACACAGACTGGGAAGCAGCAGCAACAGCAGCAGCTGCGCTGGCAGCAGAGGCATGAGCAACGCTATCAAAACCCGCAGCAGCGACGACAAGACACCGCTGCAGGGGGGCGGCCCGCATCTCGTGCTGCAGTTGCAGCAGCTGCTGCTTCCAGATGCATTGTCACCGCGGCTCCAGCTGCTGATGGAGGAAGGATGGAGGGTGCAATCCCCCGACGTTGGTAGCTCATCGCTGCAGCGNGGCTCCAGCTGCTGATGGAGGAAGGATGGAGGGTGCAATCCCCCGACGTTGGTAGCTCATCGCTGCAGCGGAAACTTCATTTGCAACAAAGGCCTCAACGCCAGCAGAGGAGAACGTCAATAGCCATTGAGGCTGCACCGGCGCATGCGGGTTCCGGATAAAGCAGCAACAGTGGAGCTGCAGCAGCCCCTGTGTAATCTGCTTGTTCCTATCTGGCCATATCCTTCGCGCAGCGACGACACCAGCAGCACCAGCAGCACCATCAGCAAACAAACCGAAGTGGCAGCACCAGAGGCGACAATGGAATCGGGTTCTTTATCTCCCCTTGCTGCAGCAGTTCAGGCACTGCGTGTGCTGGCTACAGTCCCTGCAGCTTCTGATAGCCGCAGGGACTTCGCGAAGCAAGAGCTATTGCGGCGGATAGAGTTGCAGTTGCAGGAGCAACAGCTGCAGCAACAGGAACAGCAGCAGTATCAAGAACAGCAGCACTTGCATCGGAAAGGGCAGTGGGATCACCGACACGGGTGGCCTACACAGAAAGACCACTTGTCGAAACAGCAGGAGCAGCAGCAACGGGAGGAGCAGCAACCGCAACGGGAGGAGCAGCAACAGGAGGCGCAGGAATGGGTGTGGCAGTGGGAAAGCGACGCCACAACACAAACGGAGGTGCTAGAGCAGC